CCCTAAGGGACTACAAAACAAGTGCATGAAATAGTACTAACGAACAAATGTTGAATCAATTACACAATGAAGACAAAGTAATGTGTTTGAAAACTATTGTTTGATTACATCATTATCAAGCCTAGGTGTCCTAGGTGTACAATACGCTAAAGAGCTAGTTATGCATTTTGGCGGCGTTGTTTACGCTTCCTTGACTAGAAAACTGAACATGATATCAAAGATGTTTCCTTACTTCCTCGCCGATAATAATATTACAAAGTAATACCATGTCACTCGTGAAATTAGTGATTAAATTTCCCCGATACCTCGGGAAAATTTGTAAAAGTCCCTCGGGCTGCGCCCTCGGGACTTCCACAAATTTTCCCTCGGTTTCGGGGAAATTTAATCACTAATTTCCCTCGTTCCATGGTATTACTTATAAAAATTCAAACATAAATTATACAAACCATGACACAATTGATCATAACAGCTTTCCGTAGCAGACAAAGTGACAAAATTCAATGCATTTTGTAACTTTTAGCTTAGTGATGTCCATAAAGCGAAATTCAGATGAAATATATTCATGATAGAAGTGAAAAAAAAAAAAAAAAAATAGAAAAGAAAGAAAAATCGTTGAAATTTATACAAAAAAATGGTAGGAACATTATATTTGTTACACACAAAAAAATCCTTCGACTGACAACAGCAACATTAACAACAAAAAAATGAAAAATCATTGAAATCTATACAAAAAATGGTAGGAACATTTGTTACACAAGAAAACCTAGGACTTACAATTTAAGTAAAAATCGCAAAAAATCCTTTTACATAAAATGCATAAAAAAATAGCATTTGTCATGAAACCAAATTCTTCAAAAAAGCCGCACTCTAAAATTCAGTGGTCAAGTTGTCAGAGGTAAGATGACAATCTTAGCAGGGGAGCTTCATCTCTGTAATAATCTCGTAATTTTGAAGCTTTTGTGATGTAACTTCCACAAGCGATGAGCGAAAGCTTTTAATTAAAATGGATAGCCTTACTTAAAGTACATTAAATTTTTGAAAAATCAAAGTATCTCACGTAGGTTTTTTCATAAAAATCTGTTGTCAAACAAGGCCATTTTTCTTTCAATTTGCCAAAACGAAGTGTTTTCATTCACAAATTTACCACAAATCGCAAAAAAATAAAGAACTAAATACTAATATACAAAGTAACGAGTTTTTATCAACATCTGATTGGGTAATTTAAAGAGTTATAAAACATTGAATGAGATTAAATTGGTTTTTAAATGAGTTGTGACTAAAACCAGAGAAAAAAAAAATTAAAATGTCGCGAAAAAATAATTGCGCAAAATTCTGTCGCTGAATTTTATGAGTAAAATCACCGGTAAAATCTATTATACATCCGCTAGAAAAGAAATATTCCAAAAATTCCAAATCTAAGTGATTTGAATTGGTAAAATCAAGAGACAATGGTCAATGCTTGTGTCAAACGACAAAAAAAAACAAAACGTTTCAACCTTTAAGAATGCTAATTAACCGGCCCCAAATATGTTACTTGTCAAAAACCTTTGATATTTCAAAAAAAATTTTAAATAAGTGACGATGAAATGTAAAAAGGTTTTTGAAGTTTATGTCAAAAAGTCGTTAAAATGTTCCTATTACGTTTGCAAACCAAACCTCGAGGCAAAACGTTTAAGTCATCAATATGTCTCGCAAATCATTGGATATAAACCATTGCCTCTAGGGCCTGACGAAAAGCGCCATTAATTTTGTACTTATTTTAATCCGATAACGTAGTTTGTAACTTTCTAAGGAAAGATTAGCGTTCGCTTTTAGCAAAAAAAAATGTACTTAGATCAGTAGATAAAGACGGCGCTTTGTAGATAGTTGTAAAAGTTACCAATTTAACAAATTGCGCAAGGTTCGGAGTCGTATGTTGTACTATTGACACACTCTTGACGGAAAAAATGTTCAAAACTCCAGTCGACCCACTGGCGAAGCGCATGCAATGGTGCATTGTGGGGAATTTTATATGAAACGTGCTGAAAAACCACTTTGAAGTAAAAAACGCAAACAGCATTTTTGCTGATATGTTATTTGGATGCCAATTGGATGAAGTATTCTCCTGCGAAAAACCTGTATGAAGTTGTATTATCAATATTTAATAATATGATAATGATAATGTTGATGATGATGACAATGATGATGATAATGATGATGATGACAATGATGATGGTGATAATGATGAAATAATAATAGTATAATAATAAAACAATATATATAATAATAATGATGTTGATGATACAATGATTTATCATATGACCCGTATTTCGGCCCTACGCGCGCTCTCACTGAAACCTTGGGAAAATGGTCACGTGATGGGGTCCGTACGCCTTTTCGCGACAGGTCCGTACAAACCCGTATTTTCCCGGCTTGAAGTTCCGCGCGCTTTTATTTATTTTTTACATTAAAAAACGCTGTCATATGATAAAATGCTTATTGACTGAGTTAGGTCGGGCCGTACGGGAAAATATTTGGCTCTCGGTCATTTGTACGGACCTCGCTGCGCTCGGTCCGTACGGCATAACCTCGAGCCAAATATTTTCCCGTACGGCCCTCCCACTCAGTCAATAAGTACACAATATTATACAATATGAATAATCATACCGAATAACAACAAAAATACGATAAAACATCAGCAAGCGATATTTATATATTTATTTAAGGATCATTTTCTCGAAGTCATTTTCAAGTTAACATTCAACTTTTATCAGAAACTCGTGAGGGGATTGCTGT